CGGCCTATTGGCCCTCCTAACTATCCACCAAAAAGCCTTTGTCGCCTCTATCACACCCAAACAGCCTATTGGCCCTCCTAACTATCACAAAAAGAAGCCTATTGGCCCTCCTAACTATCCCCACCAACAAGCCTATTGGCCCTCTAAAATCACCAAAGCTATGGCCCTCCTAACTATCAAAAACCAAGAACCTATTTGCCCTCCTAATATCACAACCAAAAAACCTATTGGCCCTCCTAACTATCACAACCAAGAAGCCTATTGGCCCTCCTAACTATCACAAAAACAAAGCCTATTGGTCCTCCTAACTATCACCCCCAAACAAGCCTATTGGCCCTCCTAACTATCAAAACCAAGCCTATTGGTCCTCCTAACTATCACCCAACCAAGAGCCGGTGGGGCCGGGCCCAGGTAGCTTAGTGGTTAAGAGCTTTGTGCCGTAACCAAAAGGGGTCGCTGGTTCTAATCCCCGGCCGACTAGGTGAAAATCTGTCGATGTGCCCTTGAGCAAGGCATTTTAAACCCTAATTGCTCCTGTAAGTCGCTCTGGAAAAGAGCGTCTGCTAAATGACTAAAATGTAAATGAAAATGTAAGCCTATTGGTCCTCCTAACTATAAACAGCCACAAGCCTATTGGCCCTCCTAATATCACAACTAACAAGCCTATTGGCCCTCCTAACTATCACAGCCAACAAGCCTATTCACATTATGTTTGTTTTTCACTAAGTCCAATTTTTTGCCGTCCCTCTGCCCATACCGCGGCTCTGCCAAGCCACAAGGATCTTCCCAGTCCAAAAACAACGAGACCCCCCAGCTTTACGGGCCTCATTTGTAATGTTCACAGACTGGGAGCAAAGCAATGAAAACCCAAAAGCAACTCATGTTTTAGTCCGTACAGAGATATACTGTCTAACATACTGTATATATATACAGTCCCAAACTAAGTTTGGACACATCTACTCATTCAGGTTTTCTTTCTTCATTTTTACTTTTTTTCCCTACATTGTAGAAAAAATAGTGAAGACATCAAAACTATGAAATAACACATATGGAATCAGTAGTAACCAAAAAGTTTTAAAACCAAATCAGAATAGTTTTATGTTAAGATTTTTTCAAAGTAGCCACCATTTGCCTTGATGACAGCTTTGCACCTCTTGGCATTCTCTCAACCAGCTTCAGAGGTAGTCACCTGGAATGCATTTCAATTACAGGTGTGTCTTCTTAAAAGTTCATTTGTGGAATTTCTTTCCTTCTTAAATGAGCCAATCAGTTGTGTTGTGACAAAAGTAGGGGGGTTACAGAAGATAGCCTTATTTGGTAAAATACCAAGTCCTATTATGGCAAGAACAGCTCAATAAGCAAAGAGAAAACAAACAGTCCATCATTACTTTAAGACCTGAAGGTCATAAATACGGAACATTTAAAGAACTTTTAAGTTTCTTCAAGTGCAGTCGAAAAAAACCATAAAGTGCCATGATGAAACGGGCTCTCATGAGGAACGCCACAGGAATGGAAGACCCAAGTTACCTCTGCGCAGAGAAAAGTTCTTAGATTTACCAGCCTCAGAAATTGCAGCCCAAATAAGCTTCACAGAGTTAAAGTCACAGACACATTTTAACATCAACTGTATAGGGGGGACTGTGTGAATCAGGCCTTCATGGTCAAATTGCGGCAAATAAACCACTAAAAAGGACACCAAAAAGATGAGAGACCTGCTTGGGCCACAAAACATGAGCAATGGACATTAGACCGGTGGAAATGTGCCCTTTGGTCTGAGCCCAAAATTGGAGATTTTGGGTTCCAACCGCCGTGTCTTTGTGAGTGCGGGTGGATGAACGGTTTGATCTCCGCATGTGTATTTCCCACCGTGAAGCATGGAGGAGGAGGTGTTATGGTGTGGGGGTGCTTTGCTGGTGAAACTGTCTGTGATTATTTAAAATTCAAGGCACACTTAACCAGCATGGCTACCACGCATTCTGCAGCGATACGCCACCCCCATCTGGTTTGGGCTTAGTGGGACTATCATTTTTTTTTTCAGCAGGACAATGACCCAACACACCTCCAGCTGTGTAGGGCATTTTAAACCCAAAAAGGAGAGTGATGGAGTGCTGCATCAGATGACCTGGCCTCCACCAATCCCCCGACCTCAAAGCCAAATGAGATGGTTTTGGGGTGAGTCGGCTGCAGAGTGAAGAAAAGCAGCCAAAAAGTGGGTCAGCATATGTGGGAACTCCTTCAAAACTGTTGGAACAAGCATTCCAGTGAAGCTGGGTTTAGAAAATGCCCAAAAGTGCGTCCAAACGTTGACTGGTAGTGTATATTACATATACATATATTGTACTGTACTGTATATGGCTCTGGTCCAGTATAGGTAACATAGAGATAACCATACCTGGGTGTAGGGTCACAGGGGCCAGGGGTCCAGGGGTCACAGGGTTCACAGGCTGCAGGGGTGGACGGGTGTCCTCCTCAGGGATGGAGGTCGAGGTAGGGAGGCTGGGGCTTCCCGTCGGGGTTCAGAGAATGTAGGGGTGGTGAAGTGGTGTGCGTGACTCTCATGGGGTGGAGGTAGAGGTAGAGGCGGGAAAACCGGGGCTGCTGCAAGGGCTGCAGGTAGGGAAGCCGGGGCTGTGGGGAGCCGGGCTGGGGATCCGGGGCGTGGGATGCAGGGGCTGGTGGGGATGGGCCGGGCTGGTGGGGAAGCCGGGCTGGTGGGAAAAGCGGGGCTGGTGGGACAAGCTGGGTGGTTGTGGAAGAAGCCGGCTAATTGGGAAAAGCTGGGCTGTGTGGAAGCCGGAGCTGCTGTGCTTCGCGGAGCCCGGGGGGTGCAGGGGGGGTATATGGGGGGTCTAGACTGGGGCTCTGGGGCTGCCTCTCTGGAGGTATGAGGAGGGTGGGAAAGTCCTTTCCCGAGGTAGTAGGGAGGGCAGAGGAAATGGAAACTGGTCCAGGAGCGTGGGAAGTGAGAGGAAAGGGACAGGGGAGGAGGTAGGGGGGAGGTTACCGGGGGGCTCACTCCCTCCTCAGCCTCGCAGCCTCAGTCGGAGGATCTGGACGGAACAGGAGGAGACAATGGTTAATACCCAAACACACAAACTCACAGAACATACCACATATTGTTTGGCTGTTTGGTATGGGATGGTGTTGGTTGGGTAAGTAGGTTGGTTTGGTATGGTTGTACGGTTAACCCTAACCATAACCCAACCCCAACTCTTGTCAAGACACACTGGACAAATGAAAGTCTCCGTTTAAAAACAAACCAGAAAAAAGAACGCTTTAATCCCCGGAGCTACGTAACAGTTGTATGGCAGTCTGGTCAACATTGGACACTGTAGGAGGGTTTGGCCCAAATCCACCCTAGCCCTTTAGCCTTCCAGTCTAGGAAGGACTAAACTTTAATATAATCTGCGGAGCTGTGTGGTCTCACCGGGCTGGGGGGGGGGAGGCAGGGGGCTGGGGGCCGGGGGCCCCCCGGGCCAGGGGCCCCGGGGACTGGCTGACTCCTGTTGTTAAAGATCATAAATAGTAAAAATCAACACTCTAATCATAGTCAGATAGCTGGCCTCTCACTGTGTTCCTCTCTCTCCGCTCAGACAGAAAACAGAGGTCTCACGCTTGGGTTTCTCCCCCCTCGATTCTTACAGAGACTTTAATAAAAACAGTATCAATTGAGGAGTAGTAGGAAAGCTTTTCTCGAGGGTGGGGAGTAGACACCTTACAGTCGACATCTAACAACCATTTCTTCTCAGGAAACTTCCCATGCAGGATGAAAAAACAAAACCAAACATTTATTTTGACTTTCTATTTACCTTATCACCACAGAATTTGATTTACTACTAATTGTCCTGGCTGAGCCATGATTGATACCATTGAGCTACAAGCTCACTTCCGCTACCCCAGCCCAGCGGACCTACAGGCAGACAATATTCCATCTATTATGCCCACAGGAAATGTCGACCCAACTCCATCTCGAATCATTGCCGGCCTGACAGAGCAAAAAAGGCCAACGTCACAACTGCCTTCCAGTAATGAAATGATATGCCCTGAAGAATGGTGGAGGAGGGCAAAGAGAGAGAGAGAGAGAGAAAGGGGAGGGAGGGGAGGAAGGGAGCAGCGACGGAACGAGGACCGAGGCTGAGGGTAGGGAGGGAGGGAGGTGCAGGGCCCCCCCCCCCCGGCAGCGGAGGCGAGCATTGGATGATCGAGCATCGGTCGCACACTACACTCCTACAGTTCTAACGTTTGAAGCTATCCATCTTGACCCGGTGTCCCCATGAAGGGAAGAAGACCCAGCTCCATCCATTTCCCCAGTCGACATAACACACGGAGCATGACGATACCTCTGAGAGAGACGAAGAGAGGCGGGAGAGAGAGCACCCAGATGTACAACGTCTACAGATGAACGATGACGAGTTATCGACGCTAGGATTCGCCAGAGACGAGAGACGCAGAGACGAGACTATGACCGAGAGAGAGGAGACGAACGCAAGAGACGTAGATGAGCAGATCGAGCACGAGAGCAAGAGTAAAAGGAGCATGACGCTGTAGAGAATCCTTGAGTAACGACGATTTGGCAGAGCACGTCTGAGGGGGGGAGAGACGATGAGGAGAGAGCACGACGAGAGAGAGAGAGAGAGAGAGAGAGAGAGAGAGGGAAGAGCGAGCGAGGACGGAGAGAGAGCAGGAAAGGTATCCGACTACTGCGTTAGGACAGATTGGCAGTCCACAAGTGGTGCAGGTGTAGCGTCGATGTATGGGATGGACGTTTGGCTGCTCCCACAACTCAGTAGACGGGCTTTACTAACAATACACAACCACAGTGTTAGGGGCT